GAAAAAGCGCAAGAGAAATCGCCGGAAGAATAAGTGCGTTTGCAGAGAGGATTTTTTAGTACAAAAGAGTGCAGAAAGCGCGGAGATGGAAAAAGTCGGAAAAATTGGCTAAGTGTTGATTTTATACTTTGGAGGGTAAAAAGGGGGAAAAGATGGGGACCGTCAGATTAAAGTTTGATCGTGCGGCGGAAAAATTAAAGTACACGGTACTCCAAGCGGGCGCGTTATACGAGGGGGCGCCATCATTAAAAGCGCCTGACACACGCGAACAGGAGGGACGCGTGTCAAAAAAGTAGGAGGGACAGAAGGGATTTGAAACAGACGACTTTATTGCAGGAAATTAATGTGGAACCATTCAAAAGAATAGGCGGGAAACCCATCAACTGGTCGATACCCAATGATGGGCCACCCAGAAGATCGATAAGCATGAACTCACTCTTAGATCGAGTCATTCAGACTCGACCAGAGTGGGGGGGACTAGATGATATAGGATAATATCTGTATAAAGACGGACCGATTTGGTGAGATGGTCGAGAAGAGCAGACCGGGAGCGAACCAAGCCGAAAGGCGGGAATCCAAGAGATCGAGCAGCCCCAGGGCTCGACCACACAAGCGATCGAACAACCCAAAGCTCGACTGCACTGGCGGTCAAGTAGCTTGACGCTCGACCAGACTGGTCGAGCTACCCATCAATCGATCAGATGAGTGATCGAACAAGCTGAGTGATCGAGCAAGCGGGTCAACATAAGCCCAGACGCGTGTATAGCAGACGCGCGTGAGGATCCCTGACTGAGCTTCAGGAGAATATTTACCCCATGTGCCGGGTGGACACGTGTCGACAAAGTATTGGGTGGTAGCGATAACCACCTCTGACAACGCCCAAACGTCCCGCGGCACCTCTGACATGTGCGCGGCGTGTCAGAGTACGGACGGGCAGCTTGGGCAGCACACGTATCCTTATCCGGGCAGCTATTAGGGCAGGTATCTCACCCCTATAAAAAGGGGATGAGTCTTTCTTCCTTAACACGTTCTATTCACTCTCTAAATTCCAGTATACTCATACACATACTGACTTAGGCATCGGAGGCTCTTCACCGGATCCAACCCCCGGTGTGAGAGTTATTTGCAGGTTCTCGGCGTTCTACCGGCAAGGACAAGAATCGATCTACTCCAAACCGGACCCGGACGCTTACACTTGCATTAAATACTAACATGCATTAAATAATTTTTATTACATAAAATAGAAAGAACAATAAGACGTACAACTTTTATAACTCTTATAAATAATAATGATATTATATGACAATAAAATTTATAATAAAATATAATTAGCTATCGTATGGTGAACAAAAATAAGTAAAACTCATATTATTTTCTTATATCAAGAAATAAATATATATACTAAAATCAAATTTATATTAGTATAAATGTGTTAGTGAGATAATATACTAATTATTTTACAAGCTAGCTCTAACATGCTCATATCTAATGTTCTCTCTAAAAAAACAAGGTTGATTGAAAGAGATGGAAAACATATTATAACCTATTGTATTATAAACTTAACGCTGATTAAAAGAGGTGAAAAACGGATAATAATCCTATTGTTTTTTAGACCTATACGAACGGAGTATGTGAAAATAACTTATTTAATATTTTGTTCCGTGCATCGCACGAGATACGTACTAGTTTATAATATATACATTAGCTCTTTAATTACTTATCGGCAAAAAACATTCGTCACCACGTGCATTTCACGTGCACTTTACTAATAAATTTTTAAAAGCATATGTAGATTGTCAAATATCTATTTTATGGGACGCCATGGCTTAATTAAGAAACTAAGCAAGCACAAGAATAAAGGACGAAGAGGAATAAAGGAACGAAAGGAAAGAAGAAGAATAAAGGCCAAAACAAACAAACAACAATGATTAGAGAATAAGAAAAGGACAAAATGAAGGGTTAATGAGAAATCTATTAAGGGAAAATTTGATGAGAATTCAATTTCTTTGTACGAGTCGATATACATGTTTTAATTTTTATTATCATCGACGCCTATCTTTGATATTTAAGGAATAAAATACTTTGGCCTTACTATCAAGCTTATTAAAAATTCATTAAATTTTATTTTTTGGTACCCTTTTTTTTTTTTTTTTTCATTTGTTACCGAATTAATCTTTTCATGCCAATAGTTAAACCAAAACGTCAAATCCAACATTCATTCGTGAAAACATTTTGCTACGATAGGGTTATATAAGCTTGTAGCTTATATAACTTTGGATAGACATGCCAGGGGCCGGCCCGGCCCGTCGTCCCGGTCCCGACCAGTCCCCGGCCGGTAAGTTGCAGGTTCTACCGTAGCTTTACGGGTCGTTTTCGGGTCCCTTTTTCTTTTGTCCCAGCGGTCTGGGACCGGGTGCCGGGACAGAGCCGATTCGACGGGCCGGCCCTTGGGTTTTGGCGGGCCGATTAATGGTCACCCATGAGAGGCCCGCGGCGCGACGGGCCACTTGACTGGCCACGTCTAACGGATAAAGCTTTATTTTTTACTCACATATTGGAGAAAATTCAAACTGTAAGCTATTTGCTACGATAATCAACAACAATAACAATAATTATGGAAAATGCTACAGTCTCATCATGAAACAATTCTTTCCTATAAAACTCGAGTAAGAAATTGGCACTGTCACTTTTGCTTGACTAACATCTAAAGGTTCATATCAAAATTAGAAAGATATAATGACTTTAACTAAACTGAGAGAACCATAACTCACGAGACTCTAGTCTTTCTCAATATAATTTAAATAATATAAGCATAACCTTTAACTTTGTGAATCATAAACTATTCAAATACATTATACGTTAATTAAAGGTATAATCGCACATAAAATCCCCACCTTTTGTGTAATCGCAAATAAAATTCAATTTTTTTATCTTTGCAAATAAATACCAATATTTTACTATGTGTTGTAAATTTGTCTCAAAATCATTTTCCGGCCAATCCTTGTTGACGTGTCCGATCAGAAATTTTACGTATCACTTATGAGGCTTGTGTGACATCAATCTTTGAAACTCTTCACCATGTTTTTGCCACATCATATGTGAACAAATTAACCAAAATTAGATTTTAGTACTAATTGAAAAAATAGGATTTTATCACCATGTTTTTTTGCTTCATAATCTTCATAACAATTGAGTTTTTCTCCCCCAAGAAAAAAAAAATATTTGTAGCGATTTTTCTCTTCTCCATGACGCGATTCTTCACCCCAAAAAATTGAGTTCACCCCCAACATTCTGAATACATTTACGCGCTCACCCCCAAATTCTGAAAAATTGCGCAGAGAGAACGATTTTCGAGTGATTTTTAGGCGATTTTAGTGTTCTGATCGGATATGTCAGCAAGATTGGCCGTAAAATAGTTTTGAGACAAATTTGCAACACGTAATAAAGGTTTGATATTTATTTTGCAAAGATGAAAGAGTTGAGTTTTATTTGCAACTACACAAAAAGTGAAGATTTTATGTGCAATTAAGACTTAATTAAATCATAAGAAAATTGTCTTGTTAAAAGGTGATAGGTAGGTCAAATTCTAACACAAACTAATAGGACCACTTAGAAATTTAAAGTTCAATACTCTTTTCATTTCATGTCTGATTGTTTTCAGTTATACCCACAGTAGGGACCAAAAATGAAGAGTAATCTCCATGCAACCCTCTTCATATTCTCTCTTTATCCATGCACACTCCATCCATCTTCATTAATTTGGCCTATAAATAGATGGCTTTGATTGTTTAAACATGGTGTGCCAACTCTCAATCTCTCATCTCTCTTAACTATCCAAAACCATTCTCTCCAGTCGATCGACTTTATTTCGTAATGGCGACTTCTGTCTCAATGACTGCTCCCGAAGTTGTGCCTTACGATTTCGGCCGACACCTCACCCGCCACGACTTCCCCAAGGGCTTCCTTTTCGGTGGGGCCACCTCTGCTTATCAGGTAATAACAACCATTTTTCTCAATATGAATAATTGCTAAAAAAGACAAAACTGCCGGGTTCACGTCTAAAAAAAGCTCGCTCGTGTATTATTATTAGGACGAATAATGGGAGTAATTTGTTTTTGAGTATATTTCAGGTCGAAGGAGCTTATAATGTGGGAGGCAGGGGAATGGCTAACTGGGATGCTTGGAGTCTTATGAAGCCCGGTTGGTCGATTTTTTCTCGTGTTCATTCAGCCATCATTAATACATGAATACAAATATGAAATATCCATACAAATTGTTTATATAATGACAGGTAAAGTGTCGGATGGCGGCAACGGATGTCGTGCTATTGATCACTATCATAACCTCAAGGTAATTCGAAAATTGCTAAACGAGTCTAATCAATCAATAAATTTGCGATAAGATTTTCGATATCTAATCTTTAAGTGAAATTCTTTCACAATATTAATGCAGGAAGATGTGAAACTGATGAAAGACATGGGGATAGAGACATACAGGTTTTCGATTTCATGGACCAGAATTTTGCCCGGTACGAGAATATTTAATTTTTTACGAATATGTGAGTTCAAAGCTTTCGGAAAAAATGGTAACCGATGAACCGTGCGTGCCAATAGGTGGACAATTGAGCACCGGTGTAAACAAGGAAGGCGTCAAGTTCTACAATGACATGATTGACTTATTAATTGAAGCAGGTTAATTAACAAACACTCTGTTTTTTCACATATTTTTACCACAATGTTGCTGTTAAATATGTCTAAAGTCGTTAAGCTGGTCGATCGATTTTATTATTTGAACCGTAATTAATGCTTCCTTATGCGACAAAATGATTTATTTATTTTTTTTCACTAATAAGATTACACTAAAGCTTAAATTGAAATCAGAATCCAGTTTTCATTATACATTTAATTTATACTGGTATTCCAAACTCACAGGAATCGAGCCGGTTGCTACTATCTTTCACTTTGATACTCCTCGAAGCTTGCAGGATGAGTACAAAGGCTTCTTGGACCGCAGGATAGTGTAAGTCATTTCTCATGAATCGCGAACCCGAAATTGAAGTGAAACTATATATATAAGAGAATCACTAAAGTCCCGTCACGTAATGATTTTGTGGTTACTATTAGCCTTCATATACACATGTATATTAGTGTAGGATAGATAATTCGTAGTTAAAAACAAACTGGCAGAATCATTCTATGACGGGACTGTTGTTATTTCCTATATATATTGACATTTGTGCATGGTTTACGACACACAGGCATGACTTTGGCAACTATGCGGAAGTGTGCTTTCGTGAATTTGGTGACCGGGTCAAATTCTGGGTGACGGTAAACGAGCCGAGCACATACACTGTCCTTGGATACGTGGACGGCGTGTTCCCCCCGGGCCACGGCTCCCCACCAGGCGAACTTGGACTAAGATTTGTCAACTACAGAAACGTGCGTGGTATCGACCGAACTCTCTATGGTGGAAATGCCGCCACCGAGCCATACATTGTGGCCCATCATTTGATCCTCTGTCACGCTAAGGCCGTCGATATTTATCGCAAAAAGTTTCAGGTAATTAAGTAATTAATTAATTCCTATGTTCCTTAACAATATCATACTAAATAATCGGTACGAATGCGCAGGCTGTCCAAGGAGGCAAGATAGGCATTGTAGTTGTCCCTAACAGTTGGTACGTTCCATACTCTGACAAAAAGGAAGATAAAGACGCTGCTGTAAGAGCTGTCGAATTTTTGCTCGGATGGTAAAAATATACAATAACTATTTTATTCATTATACCGTCGTCATTCACAATAAGTACTGGTTTTTTTTTAACTTTCTATATATTTTTTCTTTTTTTTTTTGAATTATTCAGGTTTGTGCAGCCATTAGTGAGCGGCGAGTATCCGGACAGCATGCAAACGCGCGTGAAAGAGCGGCTGCCCAAGTTTACCGAAAAGGAGAGGAAGAAAGTAACCGGGTCATATGACTATATTGGGCTCAATTATTACACCACAATATATGCTGCTTACAAGAAAAAGCAGCCTCATGACCCAACAAACTACTATACAGACCAGGAAGTCGAGTTTCACAGTAAGCGTTCGAACGAAAAAAATTTCCATTTTTCACTTGTGGATAACTATTATGTCTGATCACATTGATTCAAATTCATTTTCTTTGAATTGTCTCAGCTAGTAAAAATGGAATTCCAATTGGCCCTCAGGTAAAATTTAGATTTCAACAATCTTTGATATGCAAGATTCATATCAAAAACTTATATACGAACACATTCTAATTCTTGCTTAATGTCTACAGGCAGGTTCAGAGTGGTTGTACATTGTGCCTCGTGGAATATACGAACTTCTGACTTACGCAAAGAGACAATATAACGATCCTGTCATTTACATCACCGAGAATGGTATAGCTATATATAACCGAACACATCCTAAATACTCTTTATAAAATCGCTAAAATTCCAAAATAAAATAAAATAACAAATAGAAATCTGTATGTACAATAACGTTCACACCATTAATTAATTTAATGCAGGGGTGGATGAAAAGAACAGGCAGCAGCTTGGTCCTGATAGCACTGATAGTGAAGGGAAAAAAGATAAAGTACTGCCAATTTCCCTCCTTCTGAAGGACGACTACAGAATTAAGTATCATCAGCAACATCTTGCGTACGTGAAGCGTGCTATAGAGTAAGTATATATGCGCACCGTTTTGTTTACTAAAATAAGAGTGATTTAATACTAAATCAATTTTTAACATGGACACAGTAAAGATAAGGTGAATGTGAAGGGATATGCTGTGTGGTCCATATTCGACAACTACGAATGGGCCGCGGGCTACACAGTACGATTCGGCATGTACTTTGTGGACTACCTAAACGGGCTGACTAGGTACCCCAAGAAGTCGGTGTTTTGGTACATGAATTTCCTCAACAAAAAGAAGCTTCCGGGTCCTCGCGATAGGGAGATAATGGAAATCGAGGGAGTCGAGGAAGAGGAGAAGGCGGGAAAAAGGAAACGTAACGTTTAGAACGATTGACGGCATTATTATGTATCAACCTCATGAATGAGCTATATATGTGCGTCAAGAATAAGGCATCGTTTTATGTTTGTTTCTGTGTTTGAATGTTTGTGTGTGTTTGAATATGAGGTTTATGTGTTGTGTGTTTGAATAAGAGCATGAGATGCATCTCATGTAATGCCACTACTGCATGTAACTAATGTTTCAGCCCCCAGAGGCTTTGTTTGATTAATATATATCGTGTTTGCATAATTGTGTGGGTATATTTGAATAGGCCTATAAATGAGCCGAGCTGAGCTCGAGCTTAGGTATTCGAGTCGAGTTAGAGCCCTTAAAGAGTCGAACCGAGCTCGGCTCGTTAAATAAACGAGTCAGAAATCGAGCTCGTGCCTTAAAGAGTCAGTCTCGAGCTTTAACGAGTCAAACTATAACATATTATATAAAAATTCTCTTTCGAACATTATCAAGTCGAGCCGAGCTCGACTCGTTAACCAAACAACTTTAATGAACTCCAACTCGACTCGTTAAGACATCGAACTCGAGTTTTAACTAGCTGAACTCGAACCGAGCCGAACCAGACTTATTTAATCTAACAACACTATAATTTAATAAAAATATAATTGTATCGTTCTACAAATGAACGAGAATTATAAATAATTATATTATGTTTTGAATGTCATGCACTCATTATGACAGTCCCGCTCACCTGCCCACCGTGGGCAGTGCCCACTTTTTTGTCTTATATGAAAAACGTATTCTGAGAATACGTTTTTTAATTAAATTTAATTGAAAAACGTATTCTCAAAATACGTTTTTCATATAAGACAAAAAAGTGGGCACTGCCCACGGTGGGCAGGTGAGCAGTTTCACTCATTATGAACTCAACTTCATCACATCAATCATCAGTGTCAATATAATTATATCCTTTATAATAATTGGGTCGACATCAAATCTCTATTTGAATATTTTATCTTTGAACATAGTAAACAATTTTTCTATAATTGTTCCAGTTATTGGCCAATAAAAGAGAAGAGCTCATAATCTAAAGAAGATGCATTTTATTAACTGCAGTGTATCTGGGAAATATACAGGGCATATAAATAGCTGCAAGACAAAAGGAAACCCTAGACTCTAGTCCAATGAATAAAGGCCACGTACAACATGGGCCATGCAATGACGAGCTAAGGATAAATATCAGCAGGTACATATGAGCTGGAGAAAGGACAAAAGACCAAAAAAATATTAACATGGTTTAAAAGCACTATTAGCATAATTAGTTCTATCACTCCCTCTCAATTCAGAGCCAGGTGCAGGGAGGACTTGTAATTTCTGCTGCAGCCTGGTGAAGAATTGACAACCCAATGGCTTGGTGAAAATGTCTGCAACTTGATCAAGAGTAGGAACATACTGAACCTTGAGGAGACCATTAGCTACCTGTTCTCTGACAAAATGGAGATCAATCTCTATGTGTTTTGTTCTAGCATGAAGGACAGGGTTGCTAGCAAGGGAGATGGTACTGAGGTTATCAATCCAAACAACAGGTGTACAAGGCAGCTTGACATGAAGTTCTTGAAGAAGAGATTGGAGCCAGGTCATTTCAGCTGTGGCATGAGCAAGACTCCTGTATTCAGCCTCAGTGCTGGATCTGAAAATTGATGCTTGCTTTTTGGAGCACCAAGAAATAGGATTTCTGCCAAGATAAACATATACTCCAGTGATAGACTTTCTGTCATCAAGATCAGCACCCCAATCAGAATCAGAAAAACCAGTAAGGTTAGGACTTGAGTTCCTGGTAAAGTGAATTCCATGGGTTGGAGTCCCAGCTAGAAACCTTAAAATCCTCTTAACAGCTTTGAGATGAGTGTCCAAAGGAGACTGCATGTACTTACAGACCTTAGTAACACTATAAAAAATGTCTGGTCTAGTTATTCTAGCATATTGCAAAGAGCCCACTAGACTTCTGTAAGCTGAAATATCAATGATAAGAGTGCCATCTCCCTTGGACAGAGCTGGAGAAGTAAGCATAGAAGTAGTGACAGACTTAGCTTCAAGCATATGTGCCTTTCTGAGGAGATCTTTAATGTATTTTGTCTGGGACAAGTGAATGCCATTCTCAGTTTTCTTCACCTTAATGCCAAGAAAATGGTGAATTTCACCCAGATCTTTTAGAGAAAAAGCATGGCTCAACTCAGTAATAACCTTTTGAACTGCATGAGAACATTTTCCAGTAACTAATATATCATCAATATAAACAAGTAACCAAACAGTGAGACCCCCTTGATTCTTGACATATAAAGAGGTGTCAGATTTGGAGTGGATAATGAAGCCTAAAAAGAGTAGAACTGATTTCAACTTCATAAACCAAGCTTTATGAGCTTGTTTTAGACCATATATTGATTTGTGAAGCTTTCACACCAAGTTAGGATGCATGGTGGACTCAAAACCAGGGGGTTGCAGCATGTATAACTCTTCTTCAACATCACTATGTAGAAAGGCATTATTGATGTCCAATTGCCTCACTGTCCACTTGTAGGTAAGAGCAAGAGAGAGAGCCACCTTTATGGTGTTGGTTTAACCAGTGGACTAAAGGTTTCCCTGAAGTCAATTCTAGCAGTTTGACTATAGCCTTTGGCCACTAACCGGGCTTTGTATCTAGCAGTTGAGCCATCTGCATTATACTTCAGTCTGAAAACCCACTTGCACCCTATGACAGATTTGTGAGAAGGAGGGGAAACCAAGGACCAGGTGTGATTAGCTTGAAGAGCATTGTACTCACTGTCCATAGCAGCTTTCCACTTGGGATGCAGTAATGCTTGCTTATAGCAGGAAGGTTCTAGAGAATCTAGACTGTCAATCAGAAAGGCTTTTGGCTTCAAATGACCTGTTTTAGACCTTGTGACCATATGATGTTTGATGGGCTCCTGCACTGCATGGTTAGATAATATAGCAGGAATATGATCATGCACTATTGGCAATTCAACAACTAAAGGGACTGTGGTATTGCTTGAAGAAGAAGAAGGTATTGCTTGAAGAAGAAGAAGGTATTGCTTGAAGAAGAAGAAGAAGAAGAAGAAGAAGAAGAAGAAGAAGAAGAAGAAGAAGAAGAAGAAGAAGAAGAAGAAGAAGAAGAAGAAGAAGAAGAAGAAGAAGAAGAAGAAGAATGTAATGTATGAGATGAAGTAGGAGTGCTATGGGGGGTGCTGTGATGAGAGGGCTGGTAAGGCTGAGGAGAAGGGGTTGGATTTGAAGTGGGAGTTGTAGGGTGGGAGCCATGTGGGGAGGGTTGTCCAAAACAGGTGGAGGTGGTAAATGAGTAAAAGAGTGATCAGAATGAACATGTGGGGAAACAGTTTTGTGAAAGGGGAATTGTTGTTCATCAAAGAGGACATCTCTAGAGATGATGATTTTTCCACTAGGTAACAAGGCTTTGCATCCTTTGTGTTTGGAACTGTACCCCATAAATGTGCAAGGAAGAGATCTTGGTTGAAGTTTGTGCTTGTTGTAGGGTCTTAGGTTTGGATAACACAGGCAGCCAAAGACTTTAAATGTGCTGAAGTCAGGTTTATGATTGTAAAGTTTTTCTAAAGGTGAAATAAAGTTCAATGATTTGGTAGGGAGTCTGTTAAGAATATGTATGGTAGTGCTAAAAGCATCATCCCAATATCTAAGAGGGACTTGAGAGTGAGACAGAATGGAAAGGCCTATCTCTTCTATAGTTCTGTGTCTCCTTTCAGCTAAACCATTTTGAGAGGGTGTATAGGGACAAGACATTTTATGTTGAATTCAAGAATCAGTGAAAATTTTGGCGAGGGCTATAAATTCTCCTCCCCCATCACTCTGGATAGCTTTGATCTTACAACTGAGTTGGTTTTCAACAAGGTTTTTAAAGTGACAAAGGCATTAAGCACATCAGATTTCTTAGTAAGAAAGTAAATCCAAGTGAATCTTGTATAGTGATCAACAAAACAAACATAGTAGTGTGAATTTGAATGAGAGGTGATTGGGGAAGGCCCCCACACATCTGTGTGAATAAGTTGAAGAGGTGCAGTATAAAGAGAGACAGAATCTGAAAAAGGAAGCACATGAGCCTTTGCTTGTAAACAAGAACCACAAAGAAATTTTTCATTGATAGAGAAAGGAACATTACAACTTTTCATGACTTTGGCTACCATATCTAAAGCTGCATGCCCTAATCTAGAGTGCCACAGATGCACATTGTTTGATTTATTACAGAAAGCTAGAAAACTTCTTGGTTTGAGTGAGGTTGGTGAAGATTCTGAAAGAGTCTTGACAGGGTGATGAGTGTGAGCATCAAACATATTTAGTCCATCCTTAAAAGAGCCTTTGAGAAGAGTTTGTTGAGTTGCCTGATCCTTGATAAAACAAAAGTTAGGATGAAACTCAAAAAAGACACAATTATCTTTAGCAAACTGAGAGACACTCACTAAGTTTTTGGTGATGGCTGGAACATGAAGGAGATTATTTAGAATGAAAGGTTTGTTATGCAATTTAGACTTAAGGTATGAATTGCAATATGTGAGATACACAGACCTATTCCATTACCTATTTGCAGTTTGTTGTTGCCTAGAAATTCTGAGGCAAGGTTGAGATTAGAGAAGTCACTTGTAACATGATTGGTTGCTCCTGAGTCTGCAAACCAATTGGATTCAGAGCCAACTTCACTGTTTTGGCTCAAGAGATGTGCAGCAGGAGACTGAGTTGGGTGAGGTGATGATGTCTGAGCAACTTGAACTTGCATGTTGGTTGGCCCAGGATAGCTTGAGTCAAACCGATGATAGCACCTTTCAGCAGTGTGGTTAGAAAGACCACAAAGTTAACAAACATGTCTGTTTCCCTTATACCTTCCTCTTCTTCCCCTAAAATTTTGGTTTCTGCCTCTTCCTCTTGAAGAGAAGTTGTTGTTTCTGGAAAAAGAACTTTGAGGTGACTGATTTCCAGTGTTCTTGTTATTGTTGGTATTAAAACCAGGTCCCTAAGAGGCAAAGTGA